TGGCTGCAGCAGGTGTGGCTGGCAAGCGAGCCAGCAAGGGACGCACCTCCATGCAGGCCGTGGGCGTTGGCATCAATGGCTTCGGCCGCATCGGCAGGCAGGTGGCCCGCATCGCCATGAAGGATCCGGAGACCGAGCTGAAGTTGATTAATGCCAGTTACGATGCCGATTACTTGGCTTACATGATGAAGTACGATACGATCCACGGGAAATACGATGGAACCGTGGAGGTTGATGGCGACTCCCTGGTCATTGACGGCCAGAAGGTGGCCTTGTCCCACACCCGTGATCCGGCTGAGATCCCCTTCGGCGAGCATGGTGCTGAGTACGTTTGCGAGTCCACCGGCGTGTTCCTGACCACCGAGAAGGTGCAGCCCCACTTGAAGGCCGGTGCCAAGAAGGTGATCTTCTCCGCTCCCGCAAAGGATGACTCCCACACCATCGTCATGGGTGTGAACGAGGACACCTATGAACCCAGCATGGAGGCCGTGTCCTGCGCCTCTTGCACTACCAACGGCCTGGCCCCAGCCGTCCGTGTCCTGCAGGAGAAGTTCGGCATCAAGCGCGGCCTGATGACCACCTGCCATGCCATGACCGCTTCCCAGCCCACCGTGGATGGCACCTCCAAGAAGGACTGGCGCGGCGGCCGTGCAGGCCCTGGCAACATCATTCCGAGCTCCACCGGCGCTGCCAAGGCAGTGGCGAAGGTCATTCCTGATGTGAAGGGCAAGCTGACCGGCATGGCCTTGCGCGTGCCGACCATCGATGTTTCCGTGGTCGACCTCACCGTGGAATTGGAGAAGGAGACCACCTACGAGGAGATCTGCGCCGAGATGAAGAAGCGGTCTGAGGGAGACATGAAGGGTTACCTTGGGTACACGGACGAGGCCCTTGTGTCCACGGACTTTGAGACCAACCCTATCTCTTGCACTTTCGACTCCAAGGCTGGAATCATGCTGGACCCCACCTTCGTCAAGGTGGTGTGCTGGTATGACAACGAATTTCGGCCTTTCGTGAATGCTTTCTTGAGCATGGTCTGAGCTTAATGTTAAGTCTTAAGAGAAATCTCAAGTTACACTTTGTAAAGGACTCCAAGAACAGCCCAGGAGTGGGGCTACAGCTGCCGAGTTGTCGACTTGATCAAGCACATGGCGAAGGAGGATGCCAAGGCATAAGCTTGTCCACCCGAGGCTGCAAGTATTTAAGCACAATTAGAAGATTCCCAGGGTTGATGAAATCAACCTGCTCTTGCTCCTCTTGGACTCTCCGAGCTTATTTTTCCTTATTGCCGCCGAGCACA